AACTATAGTTAATGGAACACGATGGCTCGATCTCACCAAAAACCTCAACGTGCGAAGCTTCCACAGACGGTCGCTTGCGAGTATTCTCAATGTGAGACTTCAGAAGCTTTCGCTTGCCATAGGGAGCTTGATTTCGACTACAGCACTGCACGGGCCCGGAAAGCGCTGCTGTGGGGAGAGGTTGACTTACAAGATGACGTGATACGTGGTCACGTAAGATGGCGTCATTTCGTGCAGCGTGATCACGTAAGATGACGTCATTTCGTGTAACGAGATCATGTAAGATGACGTGTTTGTGTCACGTGATCACGCAAGATGACGTCAGTTCGTATGAACTGACGTCATCTTACGACAACGCCAACTACATTAGTGCCGTCCGGAACCATTGACCTTAGAAACGCGCCTCTTCGCTTGAAGAGCTGATATGCGTTGATTGTTATTTGTTTCTTTTGCCTACTACAGACCATTCAAAAACTCGCCTTCTGGGTGACACCAACTTCGTCTACTGGGCTGTGAAGCGCGTTCGAGCGTGCGCAATACCTCTCTAGGCCGAAAGATTGTACACTGAGTATGCGTTCACAGCTCAATGACTTAGGCATTTTTCGTCAGGATGGATGCTCCCACGAGAAGAGCGTAATGGATATGTGAATAGAATTGGAAATTTGAAATGTTCTTGTCCAATCGCATTTTTCTTTGGTTATCAACGCTTTTTAGCGTCATCACAAGACGTTCAACCCATAATACACTGGTGATTAAAAAATAAGCACCGAAAAACATGCACCGATTTTCGCTCAAAAATAAACACCGGAAAAAACATACCGTAATCATTACCCATGTTACCTTTTTGGGTGATATGTGAATTTCCAGAAGAACAGCCCCTAGGAATACCCTGACTACAGAGCAGGCGACCCGTTTTTCCACGCGTTAGATTGCGGTGACCACGAATCGTACGGAGGTCACAGGACGTCCGTGAAAAATAAAAAGGACGCAAACAACGATCTACTCTGTGCACGCTTCATCCCCGATTTCCACGACCCCAAGTCCTAAGGACGTTTGTGTGAAGGATAACGATAAAATAAAACTTTGCGTCAAAAAAAAAAAAAAAAGAGCCCGTTTTTAAAAGAAAAAAAAAAGTAGAAACAAGCACAACGCGTTGACGGACCGCGAGGTTGTGGAACACCTCGCGGTCCGCTTGCCACAGGACGGTTGTCTTCGACCCATAGCTCCAAGGTGAATTTGCCACTTGCGAAAACACGGAGACCTACCCAGCGAGAACCACGAAAGCAAGACACGCACACTGATGCCTCGGCGTGCAGAATGAAACAGGATACGGGCGCGGAATACGGCCGCGGAAGAACACCTCGCACAGTGCCGATCCGGCCGATCTCCGAACGGACGATTTCGCATTTCGTGGACAGCGAGCGCCACCGCACGGGAGAGAGAGGTACCTTAAAAACGACGAAAACAAGCACCGACACCTTAGTTCTTTATATTTGCTGTAGTTACGGAACAAATCGACTTACATGAATATTTTGAATATTATTCGATTCCGTAATAAATTTAGAAGACATTAAACGCAATACTTCTTATGTTTGAATTTAGATAATTTTGTAAATTCGCTCCGAACGCAAGAGTGCCAAATTAGCCGATTTTGACCATTTTCATGATTTTTTAAAGAATATAATTAAATTTATGATGAAACATTTGTTGCGTTTAGTGACTCGATAATGACTCAATGTCTTTAAAGCCGAAATTTTCAAGAAGATCCGCGCAGCCGTTATTATCTGAGAATTTTTTTAATTTGGTGAAAAACCTCATGTATTCTCTATGGGGCTCTGAGGTGCGCCCCCTCTTAAGAGGGATAATCCGGAAAACACCCGGGGGTAGGGTGCCTACATGTTTCGCCGCTCCGCTGCGGAAACATGTAGGCACCCTACCCGGGGGTGTTCGGGTTCGCGGGCAGGCCGTTCCGCGGGACAAAAACAGTCACCCGTGATCAAGGGACCGAGTTGGTTACGAAACGTCGGGATTTTTGCTTTTTAATAAAGCTTGGTTAGAGTTTCAAAGTTGAAGATTTATTAATCATTCCTAACCAGACGGATGTCCGTCGAAAATGTTTACTTTTAACTATAGGTGGCGCCACTCATTTTTCAAAATGGCGGTTTTAGTGAGGGTCGGAGATGCGTGCCGCTGTTGAGCCTGTCTAGTGTGCTGGCTTCACTGAGCGACACACATTTTTTCTGGTAATACGAGGAAGCTAGGGTGTTATGAGCGTCGGTCAACTTTTTAGCCTGAAAACAAGAACGGTATTTAGTGTAATATTTGCGCAAGGATGCGCGTTTTAATTATAGAGTGAAACCGAAACAAACCTCTATTTTGGATTCAATTTCTCGATACAGGTTTTAATTTCGGATTCTTTCATAACTCAAGATATGTCTCACATCCTAATTATTTAGCTAGAGAAGTTGTTCGCGGACACTTTAATATGTGACATACATATTCGATCTAGGCTGATATTTGTAGTTGCTGAAAAAATCAGTGCTGATATTTGTGTGTTCACGCTGCCTTTTCGTGCTCAGACAATTGTCATGGGAAATAATAAACTGCCGGTCTTTTATTGGGCTTTTGGGTATTTAGATGTTTAATTGGTTTAACATTATTCCCAGCACAAGAATAAGACAATAATTTAAATTTTTACAATATTTTCACAAAACGTATAAATTAATAAACGCTGTTCTCACTGCAACAATCCAAAGACGGAATCCGAGTCACATAGCTGAAGTGAGTGCGCGTTTTTTATCGCAACGCTTGACGCATAGGACTTTATACTGCATCCAGTGTTTGGCTGTTTGTCTATCTTGATAACGATGTCAGAGTTTTTCCCCCATATCCTAAAAGGAAACAAAATTAACCTCTCTGGAAAGACTGTTATGGTTAAATGGCATATTTTCGTGATCTTGGCGTAAATTGGGGGCATACATTACCGCGATTTGTGTTAGTAATAATAATATTAAAATTAAGATATTTTAATACGTAATTTTTCAAGCTCTAATATACTTCGTTGCTTATGATCCAATTTTAAACGCGCGAACAAATATGACATTCAAAAGTGTGCTAATTGTCATCACTGGTGCCAATTGCAGCATTTTTAATTACCAAATAATAAAATATAAACAAATAGTCTAAAATCAATGAGAACATTATAGCTAATGTGAGAAATCCATGTAAAATTACATTTATTGTGGGTAAAGTATAATTTGCTATCAAAGTCACGATTTTTGACAATCGGCAAAACGTCCGAAATCGCCGCCAATATATCCTTCTCACCAGACCAAATCCCCAAAAGTAAAAAAAATGAATAATATTTTTTATTATTACGTAATATTTTTTATAACATATAGTTACTTCCATTTTTACGCTCCGTCGTTCTGCCAATCTCAGCCTTTCCAGTTCGAAGGAACGCCAACCTGCTTGCACGTCAGCTCACTGCAGCACGTTTCGTTGGCGTTGGAAGACGGTGTAAAATAGTGAGTTTTAGTATTGTGTATACGAGCGAATGCAAGCGCTGTGTGTTTGCGTTAGCTTTGCGTGTTCCACACTGCGCGTCCGCGGAGCCCAAAATTGCGGCCTTGGATGGCGCATGGCGATGAGGCGCACGCACAACGTAGGGCACACAACTCTAACACAAACGCACAGCGCTTGCGTTTGTTTCTATGCGCAATACTAAAACTCTCCAGTAAGGTGCAATCCATACGGCTGCAGCCCTACGTCAAGACAGTGAAGAGTGTTGTGTGCATTCGGAAATGACATTTTGCGAGCCATGATCGCGAGCAGTTTCGCCGTGCCCGCTGAGCTGGAGAATCGGGGGACCCTCACTAGAGCGCTTCCGTTTCCGCCACGGGAGGGCGAGCGTCGAGCTGGAGACGCGGTCGCTCGCTCGCCTCTGACCGCTCGACGTCACCACCAAGGTCGCCTCTTATCTGCTACAACCGGTTGTACCTTAATTCCGGTTACTCCTCTCGGCGCCACGGATGGCGCTGCACGCTCTACAAAAGGTATATTGCTGCAGTGAGCAAACCTGCCCCTCCTCCGTTACTTCGGTCATCTTAGAAATATGACTCGCCGAGTGATAGAGCTCAATACGGTGAAATGCATGACACTGGAAGAGTTGCATGTATTCCTCCATTGCTGACGGTGAAGGGAGCAAAAATGACTGGACTACTCCTGTCACCACCCGCAGAAAAAAAAAAAGTTATTGATGTGATAATTAAATTTGATCCCCTCCAGCGTTTGCTCTGTTAAAGTAGAAAAAGGTGGGAGGAGCTTCCACTTCAAACTTAACCTGTCCCTGGCAGTTTCCATGTCGAAATATGGCGTAGTTGTGTTGGGCTACAAAAAATAATGGGGAGAGTTTCAGCAAAACTACAATGAAAAATATAACCAATAAAGAAGGTAGAACTAACAGCACGGATGCCTTGAATTCTAGCGCCTTCCAATCCAACGTCAGAATTCAACATGGCAGCCGCAACGAAAATCGTTCTCTAGGTCAGTTCGTTTGTGCGGTGTATTTCGGCTCCCACTTTATCGGAAATATTAATTTAAAAATAAAACGAGGGAACATTAAAAGAAAAAAAAAAACCTTTCTGATTTGAGAAATCGGTGGCAAAAATTACAGATGATGAACCTAAAAAAATTGCCGTGACATTTAATTTTAAAGTTTTCGTACATGGAATGTAATATTTAGTTAAGGAGCGATTGATTACATTTGTTGCGAGGAAATAAAAAAACTAATTTATAATTTTATTATTTCCCCCCTAAATTTAGTAAGGAAATAAACGTCACGTGACATCGTATCTACTGTCACCAGGACGTGACACCGTGACGTCACTTTGCTCGCTAAATTTGGTGAGGAAATGCACGGATGGACAACGTTCTTGGGATGAGGAGTTTTTCTTAAAACGTTCCATGCTTTAAAATGCCCGATGGCTAATTGCTCCTACCTGCCATCACTGCGACGGGGATGGTTCCCCCAAACTCCTTGGGCAGGATTTCTGGAGCTATGTGTTCGTGCAGGCTGGACACTTCGAAGTGGACGAACATCTGCAAGAGAGCGGAGGTGTGAGTGTGATACGCCCCCCAGGTGGCGCTCCCCTGAGTTCCCGCGTCTTGGGCTCACCCTGCTCTGCAGCTTGCGGCTGAACATGCTCAAGGCCAGGTCGTAGATGGCGGATATGTACCTGGGCACGTTGACCCAGTGGATGTTCTTGTGGCGCATGGGCCATCCCTTCTGCTCAGATCGTGGGGGAAAAGAAAAGCATCAAAGCATTCTGGTAATCTATTTGCACCAATTCAAATACTGAGAAAATTCTATCATCCCGAACTAGTGTTGGGAAGTACCCACGGTGTTTTCTTTATGGTACCCGATTTATCTGAACATTTCCTAAACACACCGTCACACATAGCTGAAATAGTATATCCCAAATATTAGTCAAAAATAAGTTTTTCTCGTAAAGTTACCAAATTACTTAACGATTTTTGTCATCATATCTTTTTTTAACAGAATGTTTTTATTTAGAACAACAAAAAAGGGACGTTAGCGGTACGCAGGGGTTGACCCTTTGAACAGTTTCATGGTGGTGTGGTGTCAAATGAACGTTAATAAAGCTTGGACTTGGGTTTGGGCTAGTTGGTTGAACATTGATAGACGTGCTGCGCTGCGAAGTTCTACAGAACAAACGCGTGACTAAAAATTGAAAGGAAAAGTATGAGTTTACATTGAGATGAGGAGAAACACAACGAACACGAATGGGCGCAGACTAACAACTGTTTATTCTTTTCTTTTTTTTCCTTTTCAATGCATGAGTTTCCCAATGCGTGAGTTTGGAAAGGAGCGAACGCTATGAAATACTGATAAATCTCTTCATGAAGATGTGTGGATGCTCTGATGCCGGCATAGCTGCCGGCATCAGAGCAGTTTCCAGCAAATTAAAAACAGCCAGGCAACCAGGCGTGAATACCAACCACACGGTACGTTCGATTAGAAGAAACAACTGCAGCCTCCTGCTAGCTGACAAGACAGGAGAGTTCGTCATCTTAGAACAGGAAATGTACAAAAACAAAGCCAAAGAATCCACGCTAAAAAACTTCGAGGAACGAAAAGTCATCAGCGAAAGGTGTATGAAAAACACCAGAGCACAAATGGCCAGACAGTGTGAAGAACTAGGCATCACCAAGATACCGAAGGAAGTAAAAGGCAGCCGTCAACTATTGCGTTCGTGCATAGCACCATCCATCTGCATTTACACTAATAGCAAAGTCAACTCGTGTTTATAGAAATGTTTTATTTGGGTATTTTTCTGTTTCATCAGCTGTTTTTCCCTAAAAATGTTTTAAGTGTGTGTTTTTTGTTTGTTTTTTTTTTCTTCTGTTTTTGCTGCTTTATATAACAATGTTTTCCAGCATGTAACCCACTTTTTTGTTTGTTCTTTTATATGTTTCTTCAGCAGTTACACCCACCTTGTGTAATGCCAGCAATGGCCTTCAAGGTTTTAATAAATGATGATGATGATGATGATGATGATGATGTCTAAACCCATTCTTTGCAGTCAAAACGCACAAAGAAAACAGTCCATTCCGGATAATAGTAGAAGACAGAGGCACATGGCAGCATGTGATTGCAAGAGAACTAGAGAAATTCTTGTCACTTCTACAAATCGATTATCCGTTCCTGGTATTCAACTCAGATGAGGTGGTGGAATTCCTGAATGGAACACAACCCATCATTGCTTTCTCGGTTGATGTCAAAGACATGTTCTACAACGTGCCACAGCAAGGAGCCTTAGAGGCAGTGGAAGAGTGCATCGACATCTACGGAAGCGTCAAATTCCAAAACCAGAGTGGGATCAGCACATCAGATTTCCTTGATCACCTCCGCACATACTTAAGCTCCCTGCACGTCATGTATGAAGGAAGTGTTTACACGCAAAAAGAGGGCATTTGCATAGGTTCGTGCACAGCACCAGCCTTATGCGACATATACCTTGCAAGAGGAAACAGAAGTCTAGCGCCATTTTTCCAGGAGATCGGAGTTACAAGGAGCTTTAGATAAGCGGACGATTTTCTGGTATGTTTCCCGATGAACAAAATGACAGACCACGTGTGCGAAAAGGTCAAGCAGTGGTTCAAGCAAGTGCACATAGGCCTATAATTCACATTTGAACCACCGGAGAGAAGCAGGCTGCAATTCTTAGACATCGAATTGGCATTTGGAGAAAAGCATACATGCTGGATGCACTACAAGACAAGAGGGGCAAAAGGCATACTGCCGTTCGACTCGGGGCACACCAAGTTGGTGAAGAGGAGCATCGCCTCTGGGTGCGTATGGCAGGCCATAAACAAATCTTGCCACCACAGAATGTCAGAAGGCCTACAAAGGCAAATCACCCGACTACAAGCAAGCGGCTATCCAAAGCCCCTGCTAGTAGCTGTGGCAGAAAAATGCATAGCAACACTCAGAGGCAATCACAAAACCAAAGAAAAGGATCCGGTCAAAAAACCACTGGTAGTGATACCATACATTCATAAATTTTCGCACCAACTGAAAAAGATTGCCGAAACGCACGAGGTCAAAGTGGCCCTATCCGCCCCATTTAAGCTAAAAGGACTGTGCAAAAAGGTTAACGAAGAGGAAGGCGACACAACGGGTCAATCGTCGTGTCGGGTAAAGCAAAAAAACAAGTTCGTCGAATGCGTAGAAGGGGTCGTCTACAAAATAGCATTGACGTGCGGAAACTCAGAGTTGCCAGGCATAAATATGCCTGGCAACTTAGCAGCGCATTGCGCGAGATGCAGCTGCGAACCGCTATTTGGAAATACATCAGTCATGGACAGATCAAAAAATAGAAACAAGCGAGAAATCATAGAAGCCTTCCCCATGGCATCAGGGAAGCACGGCACGTGTGTCAGTGATCCTTCCATTGCACTGAACGAAAAGGAAATTGAACTGCTGAGACACTACATAGCATAACGAGGCGGACACCAGCACCAGCTTCAAGGTCCCATCTCACACCACAAAAACCGAACGTTTATCAGAAAAGGGAAAAACGCCACAAAATTCGAAAGTCCACACATCTTCATGAAGACATTTATCATTTTTTTCATAGCCGTTCGCTCCTTTCCAAACTCACGCATTGGGAAACTCATGCATTGAAAAGGAGAAAAAAGGAAAGAATAAACAGTTGTTAGTCTGCGCCCATTCGTGTTCGTTATGTTTCTCCTCATCTCAATGTAAACTCATCCTTTTCCTTTCAATTTTTTGTCACGGGCTTGTTCTGTAGAACTTCGCAGCGCAGCACGTCTATCAAATGACCGCTTTGGAAGCTCGCCCCAGCACCGTAGCATGAAAGAAATGCTCGCCGTGGCCCATCCTTAAATGCCTGCTCAACTGGCAAGCCTACCTGCCACTGACGTCATGACACTGAAAGGCGCGGGTGTATCTGAATTCCGCTTTTGGCATCATTTTCATTTGCAGATTTCACGATATCGATTCTGAATTCCGCGATACTAAATAGCATACTCGAACGGGTAAAGGATGGGGATTCAGAAAATATAAAATGTTAGTTGAATAGCTAAACAAAATCGCCTTAAAAAACAAACAAAAAACTTTTTGTTTTTTATTAGTTAGGGCAGGCATGTCCCAAAATAATTGTTCGTTGAAAAAAAAAAATTGTACCCTTGTGGGATGATGATGATAGCGTTTGTACCCAACTATACCTGTTTTCACCTCAAGAACCGTAGGAAAAAAAGCCAGACCCTTCGCGGAGCATTACTAATTTCCCCCTTTATGTAGATAACTAAGGTATATGTAAAGGCAATCTAGATTAGATATATGTTGCCGTATGAAGTTGCATTTGAAACATCAAAAGCATCGCTTCTTCCCCTCAGAACCATATCTTGTAGGAGCTATACTTCGCTCGGCGTATGAACGATGCGAAAACCTCCTTTTTTTCTTGAATTTCCTGGACCTCAGAACGCACACTAGTTGGGTACAAATGCTGTCATCATCATCCCATAGGGGTGCAATTTCGGTTTCGCCCGAAAACCGAAAAATTCGTATTGTAGCAGAAATATTGGGCAAAAAAAATATTTCGAGACATGCCTGTCTTAACCAGGCAGAAAAAGAATTTCCTAGGTTCAGTGTGTCTTTAAAGTACTACTGCAAGTAGGTTTAGAAAACGTGTACTTTACTTGAAGTACATTCCCTGAGTACGTACTTCTACTTTAGTTAAAGATTTTTCGACGGTATGTTCCCAGCAAAGTATAACCCTCAAATACAAAGTACATTCCCCAAATTTGATCCTGTTAAATTTGTATCGCAAAACGATGGTTTGTCAGGTCTGAAGCAACACTGGGAGGGATATTCTGATGATGCTTAGATATGGGCTAGTTGGTTAGACATTGTGATGGTTTGCTGCGCTGCGTAGATGCAAGAAAAACGCACTTGATGAAATTAAAACTAGAAGAGAGGATAGAAGAAAAACAACATACAAGAATGACGCAAACTAAACACTGTAAATTTTCTTTCACCCCCCCCCCCCCCCCCCTTCCCGTATTGTGAAAAATTATTGTGTCTTGAAAACCCCCATTGTTTGGTGAACTTTATGATATCAATAAATAAAACAAAATAGAACAAAAACAAATTTTGCAATATTTTCTAAAAAAGCAAACTTTTTTACTTAAAACTTTTTTTACTTTGCGGGAAAAAGATAAAGTGGCCAGAACAAACCCACGACGAAATTGAAGTTTTTAATCGACTCCTAAATATAAAAAGTCATTTATACGCGTAATTCTATTCAAAATAACCCAGCAAGCGAGATTTGTCCACTTAAAACTATCTTTTTTGTTTGAGAACGTAGTGCTACCGGATATTAAACGGATATTAAATGATGTCAATAGGAATGGGGCAAAGGAAAGTTGGAAGTATTTTTTTTATCAACAAACTGGAAACGATTTTGTATTTTGTCTTTTTATTGACGCAGTGCATGGTAACGTTAAAGAGCGTCACGACGGAATGAACTCACCTCTCCGTTGATCATGACTTTCTGGACATCCCTGAGGTTGACGTGTGCCAGGTGACTGATCCGGAATCCGCTCTCGTCCAAGATGTAGGTGACCCCGTTCTTCTGGTTGTCCTCGTCCTCCAGAAGCGCTTCGAAGCTCATCGAGAACGCTCTGTAGATATCTATGGTCTTATGGATCCGTGGATCCAGAGCACCTTGCGCAGGAAACAGAATGGGTTCAGATAAGGCGCATCATGTAGGTGACACTCTTTGTTGACATAACCTGAGACGGGGAGCAAGAAGGAATTCTCACAAAAGGAAGGCACGAAAGACAATGTTGTACGTTGTCCCTTCCTTTTATGTGTCTTTCTTTTCCTTCCCTCTCTCAGGTTACGTAAAATTTTCACTAGCTCGTAACTGCGCCCTCACCCTTCTTTCGCCACGCTTTGCGCATAGTCATTGGGAGGACAGAAAGCGAGAGCGCTGTTGCACACACAAGAAGATATTAATGGGCTTGAAAAAAGGGGCCCCCAACGCTTAGGGTCGCCCTAAAAAGATTTTTCAACTGCTCGATCGGGGGTCACGTGGGTTGTGGGCCGCGTCTGCGATACGAGCTGCGAGGAACGTTGGTTATCTGCGAACCGAACGTCCCCGCCTTTCCGCCCGCTTTATTCCTCGCCACGTGAAAACGCAGCGCGTGCGCAGTTGCGACCAATCTCCCTCAAGAGGCGTCCGCCGTTAAATTGCAAACGCTCCCCATGGTTAGAGATGGACCTTCTGTACCACCTTCTAGGGGTCGTCCAAAGCAGCTTGGGGCGCTGTGCTGCGCATGCCCAGAGGGTCTGCGCATGCTCTGTACGACACTCAAGCTTCTCGGAACCCCCGAGCTTTGGGGCACACTATAAAAAAACTCCTTATTGTTATTAACAATAAAGCACTCCAAAACCGTTCCAAATTTACAAAGAGAATTCCTTATAAGTTTTTCATTATGGACTTTTTCTAAATCGTTCGGAAGAGCTTCGCGTGGCTAGCGGGAGGTCGCGTTGTCACGTTCAGCACGGATTAAGCACCCGCCCGCAGAGGCCTGCCGTACGATCTACGCCCATTCGGCCAGATTCCCGCTCTTCATACTTCCAGATGCCATTTTAGTTATTTGGACCGAGAGTCTCTATTGCACGTGCTCCGGAACAACGAGAAAAAGAAATTATTGTTGTGGGATTGAATAGCCACACTTTAGCATCTTAAGAGAGACACGTCCACATTCAAGGGACACTAAACTCCTCAAAACGTTTTTGTTTTTGTGTGTGTTTTGACAGGGGCAGGTATAAAATAAAATTAACTTTTTCGAGAAAATAAATTAGCGCAAAATGTAGTAGCATACCCTAGTTAAACGTCGTTAGATATGCTCGTAAATCGCGGCCTCAATTTCAGAGTTAATTTTAATTGCTTACTGCTACGCACAGACCAAGCCACCGATAACTTAAAACCCTAATAGGCGTACGCGTTTTAAATAGACGGTACACGTTGACGCTTTTTGATAGCTGCAGGAAGGAGTGATTTATGAAAGTAGTACTTTCATTCCAAGTAAGTACAGTTTTCAGCTGAACACCAGCGAGTGTAGGACTTACCGGTGTTTAGTAATTACTATGACCTTAGTTAGAGATTTCGCGAACGTCTTCTCCTGTTGGACTATTACTGTTGGGGCGTTTGACAAGTGTGGTACCGGAATAGACCCTTTTCAAAAGTGTGCGGTGCAGTAGCTACTATAGTAGATACTGCACCGATCATCTGGGTCGTTCATTGTTCGATCACGTACTGTGAGCATGTGTTAAACACGAGGGGACGTTCGGCGTGAACTCGGCTCAGCAAGTATCGAGAACGAGTCCTGCGTCTGCTTTCGCCGATGAACCGGTCGCACGCTTCTTGCCCACGAAATGGTGACCGCCAATGTTGCTCGATTGGGCTTCAAAATGGGGTTTTCGTGACAGTTGCCGCAGGCCGTCGCGCGTACGTACCAGCGACTCCGAGCACAACGGTGCGTCCCTCGCTGTCCTTCTCGAAGAGCGGGAAGAAATACCTGCAGGGCAAAACCAAACGGGCCTACATCACTGTCAAAGTAGTACCTAAACCACTCGGCTAAATAAATCCATCTCGTACATTTAAGATAGACTGGTTATTAAGGATTTCGTACATACAACAAAGCGATAGGTCGGCGCTGTTAGCCAGCACTAGAAATGGCGCTGACCTTGCTGATACAGCTTTGACTTTGCGGTATACCGTCGAGACCTGTTGTAACGAAGTTGGTTATAACGAAATAGCGAATATAGCGAAGTGATTTCTGATTCCTGTTGACTGCGCTGATACGGCGCTGTGTCAGTTCTGAGCTAGGTTGATGTCAACGTTGCATCAACAATGTTCTTAGCGTCGACTAAAGGCTCATTCACACATATGCAACCGAGTAAGACCGAGAAAGACCAGACCGGTTTTTACGCCTCTTGGGACTGCTGAGGACCAGCTCCGCTGCAGCGCATCCGGTCCTAAGACGTCGCAAAAGGCTTAAAAACCGATCTGGTCTCTCTCGGTATTACTCGGTTGCATATGTGTGAACGGCGCTTCAGACCTGCGCTGTAGGTGTGAACCGGCATTTACTGCAATCGGAAGGCAGCAAAAATGATTCGATTAAATTCATTATCACTTTAGAGAAGTAACATCCTTATTGAGCAATTTCGTTAACCTTACACACAACAAGACTCGTATAATCTAAATATCATATTCTCTTAAAAAAAAAAACTGTCCTTACAAAGTTCGTGCCAAAACTGTAACGCGGCAATAGCAAAAAAAAAAAAAAAAAAAATCTTATGGAAGTATGTAATTTAAGTATTCTTGCGCATTATAGGATATCCAATTTATTCAACAGAGTGCAAGCCTGGCAAGATAAATCGAGGCGAACTACATCGGCAAGCATTTCGAAAAGTGCTATAGAAATTGCTTTCTATCATCTATACGCGTGTCCGTGGCTCTTGGGGCCGCCATAGCCGCTTACAGAGTACAGTAAAATGCGATGCCATTGGTGGCAGAGTGTGTTCAAGCACCACAGCTCGGGGCACGTGGAGCGAAAGCACGCGCTGCAGAACACAGGTATCTTGGGCTCAATCCCCAACCCTGCTCGTTTCGATCGTGATGAGTGCATGCCGCGTACCGGCGCGTATGGTTGTGTGTATCTACTGTCAGATGAGCGTTAGAGACCACAGACATGGTCGCACTGCACTGGCCGAATTTCTCATCTACGGCGACGGAGACCCCAGACGCCCATTGCTGCTGACTGTGCTGAGGTGCGTGGTGAGAAGAGCACTCAACGGAGCTAACTATGTGCAATGTTAGCTCCGTTGATGTTCAATGTTCAAAAAAGAAGCGAATTTTCCGCATTGTTTAAATGCCACGGAAAGGTTTGGTGATCGGAGAAAGAATCGATGTTTTTGGCTTTTCAAACGCGTACGTCTTGAGAAGATAACATATGTTTAACCGAAAATGCACCTACATATATCTTTATTCTACGCACAAAGGAGGAAATTTGTAATGCTCCGCGAGAAGACGGACTTATTTTTTTTTTTTTTTCAGCGGCTCTTAAGGTGAAAACGAGTGTATAGGCTTCCTGAACAGATCAATAACTATTAGAAATATTACGGAACGTGTTCAATACGAGACTAAAATCGAATAGTACGTTATTCGAAGCAATATTTTCCAAATATAGAGACAAGCCTATCACAGCTATCCGGCAGTGTAGCGGCGAGCTCGAGAAAGTGAACTTGCCATTTGGCGAGTTCACTTTCTGACATTTCGGTGCAATATAGCAGGATCTAGCAGGGTAAGCACTTTGGCGCAGCTTGAAACGAATGGAGCATGCAGCAATCACATAACTGTATACTATACAATACAATGCAGAAGAATCGTCGACGCTTGCTGGCTGCGAGATTTTTGAGAGCGATGGGGAACTTGGCTCTCGCTATTTTACGCCACTTTGTTATCAAGGCGAGCGCGACGCGAAAGCGAAGTTCCCTTCCCTCTCTCTCTCAAAAATTTTGCAACCAGCTAGTGCCAACGATATTAAGAGCGCCGCTGCCCTCTCCGGTCACGCGCGCGGTGGGCTCAAAAATTTTGAAAAAGACTGTAAGTGATGGTGTCCGTGCGTAGCCCATTTAAATTCAGGGATCATTTTAAGGCCTCGGATTAAACGTCTCCATCCAACAAATTTAACTCTTCGATAAGCTTGACTCGTATAAAACAACGAAACCGATGCAGCCGTACGAACAAAGAACGAAAAAGTGAGCATGAGCAACACTCTATGATTGTCAAGAAACGAAATGTTTATGTAGATGCCATTTATATGGTTTTATCGCAAGAAATCGAGGGAAAATTCGCAGTGTAGATCGGATGTTTATAGCTGGAGTATCATGCAAAGAGAGCGACGTTGGTTCACTTGCCCCTTAGCATGCAGGTCGCGAAGAGATTCCTCCATGATGTCGGGGCACTTGAAGAAGGTCGGGTGCTGCGTCCTCACGGTCAGGTAGCGGTCAAAGGTCTCCTGGGCAGAGCTCATGCAGTACTTGCGCGAGCGCAAGAACCTCAGCAGGAACTTGTCGTCTGCGCGAGTCGGAAACAGAGAAAGCACTCCGCGTTAAGACCAGTAAAGACCCGGACGGATTTCTGCGCGAATGAAAGCAGCTGTTTATTTGACACAGTCACTGACGGAGGAAGGAACGCAGGCCGTCTCTCTTAGATTCCTAGCTCCTGCACGCACACTTTGCCCTCCGAGGTGCTTCTGCTGCACGTGCGCACTCGAAGCGCACGCCGAAGTATTATATCATGGCCTTACCAAGCCTGGCGGGTCGCCAAGAGCGAGCGAACAAATGTGTTTTGGGTCCTCGCCGCTGCAAAAGCTGTGCGCTTACGTCCAGGTTTCCCGAGAAATGGCTCTTTGATGCTCTGTGCCGCCGAAATGAAAAAGGTGGAGCGGCAGACAACGGATGAGAGGAGAGCCATGTGTCTGGCGCCCCGCTGCGGCGAGACGCCGAAACACACTTCTCCCGAGCGAACAAGTGTGTTTTGGGTCCTCGCCGCTGCAAAAGCTATACGCTGGGTCCAGGTTCCCCGAAAAATGGCTCTGTGATGCTCTGTGCTACCAGATCCTGGCGCTCCAAATCTTCGAGCGGGCACTCTATGGCTCCGTCGTCGAACTGCCAGGCTTTGTGAGTATAGAGGAGGCTATGGTTATATCAATGGCAGGAAGGTCGCGCTGGAGACGCGGGAAAACTTAAATACCTCCTCAGCGTTCTAACCAACACTTACACAAAAAATTTCAGTCTATAAAAATTCACATTTTAACGACCCTTTCAACGTCCTATCGAGTCATGTCGTGTCGACGATTTTCGATAGATTTTTTATTAATTTTTTTTCAACCGAAGTCTATAGAACACAGATAGAAATTCTGTAGGATTTCTATCTGTATTCATGTATTCATGGCGTATCGTGATAAATGTTTATAGAAAGGGGATAAAAATGCTGTTGAAATATTTGTTTTTTATGCGATTCATCCCCACTTTCTATTCAATCTCTATACACTATGCCGATTGAATGTCTAAAAAAAAAAAAAAAAAAACTCAATGGATAAGCTATAGGGAGTGGAGGAAAGAGAGGGTGCATTTTCTTTAAATACCTATAGCCTCTATACACTATTTCCTATAGAAATTCTGTAGAACATGGATAAATATTTTTGTAAAGGAAGGTTCTTAGATCTATCAGTTAACGAGCTCCACGGAACAGCATCGTTCGAGAACGGTTCTTCTCTGTTGCCTGCACGCCGGCCACGTACGGACGGATAACGTTCCTAATCCCACCAGCGCCAACGCCTGCACGGGCGACGTAGAAAAATCGTTATTGAACGACGCTTTTTTTTCCGCAATCTTTTGCGCAAACCTTATGTTTACCATAGACATCATAATAGAATCACTCTACATTGCAGGCAATGTGCAATCAACGTTCCACCGGTTCCACCGCTTCTCTTCAGACATGTACGCGTTACCCCCCCCCCCCCCCCCCAAATGATTAAATACCTTTACTCGTTACTCATTGAAAAAGTAACTAGGTAAGTTACTCGTTACTGATTCTCAAAAGGAACGCGTTATTTTACCTGAAAAGTAGCGGGTTACTTTTCTCGTTACTTTGACAACACAACCGATTTTGTTTCTTGGTTTATTATTTTCTTTTCGGTAGTAGTCGTTGTATTTAAGCGAGTAGCTGCCTCTCGGAGTTTTCATGGGTTATGTTTCTCCGCTTCCTTTAGAATACATCTCTGGCGACGCTGAAGAGTCGTTCTACTGACGCGCTCGAAGGAACGGAGGCTGGTTCTCGAAGGAACGGAGCTTTTGACTCTGCTTGATTGGTCCCTTTAGCTGGTAACATCGGCAGCGTCTGGACTTAGCCGAAACGAACGCTGGTTCTAACCCTTGCAATAACCGAGTATAAAGGTTTCATTTATTTATTTTCTTTATTTTACCCTCATGGCGTGAGCATTACAGAGGGGGAAGTGGTTGCATGAGATATTGAAAAAAACACAGACACAGATATATTCAAGCTTTGATCGTACAAGGGTTTTATAAAGAATTAGCTTCAAAGTCTGGGGTGCTAAAGAAAAAATCCTTTTAAGAAAATCTAGCATGCGATTAGCGTTGTTAATGATATAAAGGTTTTATTTATTTATTTATTTTATTTTACCCTCAGGGCGTTAGCATTACAGAGGGAAAAGTGGTTGCATAAAATATTGAAAAAAAAAAGAAAAAAAAAAAGAGACAGATACACAGGAAATACAATCAGTGTAAATTAGAAAAAAATACGTTCCAATGCTTTTTGAAAAAGGTCGTGATCTATGATCGAGACTACGGGTGCAGCCAGGTGTGTAAAGGATGTAGACGGTATGAAGGAATGGTGAAAGACGTTGGTCCGAGCATATGGAATGCCAACTTTGTGTTGACGGTCAAGTCTAGGTGAAACGTAAAGAAGAGGTGTAATTAGCTTATTACGCAGCGTCTCATTAGTGAAATAAATTTTATGAAACAAGCTTAAACGGGCTACTTTTCTACGAGTTCATAGTTCAGGGAGAGAAAGATTAAACTTCATAGTGCTTACGCTGGCTGTCCGATGGTAATTCGAAAATATAAATCTCACAGAACGGTTTTGGACGGCTTCAATCAAATCAATTAGTAGAGACTGACCAGGGTCCCAAACAGAAGATGCATATTCAAGCTTTGATCGTACAAGGGTTTTATAAATAATTAGCTTCAAAGACTGGGGTGCTAAAGAAAAATATTTTTAAAGAAAACCTAGCATGCGATTAGCGTTGTTAATGATGTAGTCAATGTGAGTCCTTCATGATAAATCAGATGTAATATGAACTCCTAAATACTTATAGGCCGGAACTAATTCAAGGGGATGGTTATTTAGTGTATAATGGGCCTGAGGTGAAGTACAACAGGACAATCTCATAACCTTACATTTGCTAGAATTTAGTACCATGGACCACGAGTCGCACCAGTTGGAAACAGAGTTAAAATTGTTTTGTAGTAGGTTAGAATCAGAATCATGAGTAATTTCTCGATAAATAACACAGTCAACAGAAAATAAAGACCTTTTTGAGGATACATGAGAGGGTAGATCGTTGATGTATGTAAGGAATAATAACGGATCGAGCACAGCACCTCGAGGAACGCCTGATGTTACTGATACCATAGTAGAGCTTGTGTTATTCACGTTGACAAATTGTTTACGGTTCGTTAGATATGAATGTATCCACGTGAGTACCGCCGGATCAATATTTACTTTACTAAGCTTGGACAAGAGCAAGGTATGGGGAACTTTATCAAAGGCTTTTGAGAAGTCTACAAATACGCAATCTACTTTGAGCAAACGTCAACGATAGAATGAAGGTCATGCATGAATGATACAAGTTTTGTTTCGCATGAGAATGTCTTTCGAAAGCCGTGTTGAAAGGGACAAAAAAGTAATTCGATTCTAGAAAATTGACTCTGTTAGAGTAAATGATATATGCTCTAAAATTTTGCTTGGGACACTGGTCAATGAAATTGGGCGAAAGTTTCGAGGGTTGAATTTATCACCTACTTTGTGAAACGGGACTACCTTGGCTACCGTCCAGTCGTCTGGCAAAATACCTTGTTCTAATTATTGAGAAAATATACTCGCAAGAAGAGTAGAGGAGTACATTTTAGTATTCTTTAAAAACTTGGAGTTTACACAAGCTATACCACATGATGAGGATAGTTTAAGGAAATCGATTATGTTCACAATGCCTTCAGGACTGATTGATATGGGGTACATGGGGAGGTAGTCATACGTCATGTATGTTTGATCCTTACTTATAGGGAAATAAAAAAAAACAGCTGACAAAAATAGCATTGAGTTCATTGGCACACTCTTCACAAGAAATGGGGCAACCATCATCGGCTCTGAGCTCTACAATTGTATTACTTTTCTTTTTCGTGGTGTTCTAGAACTGTCGGCGGTTATTAGTTAGCATAGATGGTAATGTACAATTAAAGTAAGTACTTTTCGCACTACACACAGCTGTCATGTACACATCAGCAGAGACATGGTATGTGTCCAATCGGTGAGCTGTGGGATCACGCTTAGCGGCACGAAAAAAAAAAACACGCTTTTTCTTGTTCCTAAGTTCCCCGATTCTTCTAGTAAACCATGGTGCATTTGAGTTCGAGTAAATTCTTTTGAGTGGGATGTGCGACTCAAGGAGCTCATTTATTTTTAGTTTGAATATATTCTAATTTTCGTTAACAGAACGCCTAAAAAAACCACTCAGGAAAGCGTCTAAAGGAATGCCAATTCACTATTAATATCATTGAAGTCTGCTTTACTATAATCCCGAATTGTTTTAATAGCATTTGTAGTAGCTTGCAAAGGTATATTTAAATCAATATGTAGCAAGCAGTGGTCGCTCAAGTCAGGCAGGTACAAAATAGATGATACTAAGTCTGGACATGTCGTCAACACAAGATCTAAAATATTTGCGGAGGTAGAAGTAATTCGTGGTTGATCAACTAGCTGAGAAAGATTGAACTCAGAACATAAATTAATGAAGTCGTTCCCTTCTGATGAAAATGGGTGTACAGTAGGTGGCGTAGTAGACCACGTAAGGCTAGGAAAATGAAAATCACCGAGGAGAACAATTTGTCACGTAGGAAACCGACTAACGATTGCATTAACCGAATCATGCAATTGTTCACGAAGGGAAGACGAAGCGTTGGGTGGCCGATAGCGCACACGCAAAATTAATTGCTTGTAGTTTACAGTTACGCTGACCCAAAACATTTCTCAGTCAGTTAAAACAACGTTTGAGACGTTTGACAACATTTGAGACTATACCATCGGCCACAGCAATAAGAACTCCACCACCCATTCTTTCACCTCGATCCTGCCGACATACGTTAAATTTCTTACTGCACGTAAATATTTCACTGCTCCAAACTCTACTAGACAGCCATGTCTTAGTTAACAGAATAATTTCGCAATCAGTGGACTTAATAATTGAACTGAGATCATCCCGGCAGCGCATGACG